CATCCAAACAAATACATGGAGCTTGAGTCTCACTATGACTTTTAGTTTATTAACCTCGTGCTTGTTCAGTGAAAAAACATTAGGCAACTTGAATGGAGCAAACTTTTCAACATTTCTCAATGGAAATATTCATTTTAAATTTATTTTTCTCTGTAACACATATTTATTATTTTAAAATTTAAAGAAATTTGCATCATAGACCATACTTCATCAAGACAAGTCCATTTTTTGCCTCTGATTAATTATGCCAACTTTCCTACTTTGGAAGGGAACAAAGGAAAGACTAGAATCAAAGGCTTTTAGAGCATTTAAGGCATCCAACCTATAACTAATTGGAAATAGGTGCAGAGGCCCACTTTATTTATAAACCCACATATTATCTTAAATTTAATCAGTGTGGGACTTTCCCACTCCACACACCCCCTTGTGTGTAGACTCAGTGGAATGATACATAATGGGCTTAAGAAGAAAGAGAATCTGGCTTTCATACCTTGGTAACAAAGAAGGGGAGAAAAGGGTTGAATAACAAGGCAGACATCAAAAGGGGTTCAAACCATGGCATTTTACAAAAGGGGAAAAAGGTTCCTTTGAGATAGCATAATGCTAAGAAGGGACTTGAGCATATATGGCCCTTATAGACATATCTTACACATATCACTTATACAAAATTTATACCATTCATCGCTCCACTATGAATGGTTGGGATTTATTTGCTTTTTATCTTATTTTTTAAAGATAATTGTGTTTTTCATCTTAAAAGTCATGACAAATCTCAACCATTCAAACTATAACATCCCATATACTTTAATGAATAGATTAGAAATTAGAGTCTTTTATTTTAATATTTTAGGGACCAAATTGATTAAATTTAGAATATGTGGATCTTATATGAAATTATGAGATAGAGACTATTTGACTAAATTTACCAAATTTGGAGACGTGGCAATTTAACAACAATTCACCGTGATTTCTCTGAAAGGTTATAGAATTAAAAGACCTCTTTTTTGCCTTAAGCCTCCTGGAACCCAAAACCATTTCCCCTGCATTTTTTTCAGTCAGTTCCCCCCTGTGTCTCTTCCTTCTGTATTCCAGCTGGTCCTCTACATTTTTCTCCTTTGGCCGCCGAGTGGGATGTGTGGGGCGTGCTCTCTAGTGAAATCTCTTTCAATTTCTGCTGGTTGTTTGAGTTTGGTGCTTTGATTTTCGGGTAAGTATAAGTTTTAAGTTATGAATTGGGTTAGGGGGTTTAATTATAGATTTATTACAATAAATTAAAAATTAGTTTAAGAGATTTTGGGTATTAGAATTTTGTTTAGCGATTTTGAGAATTTTGGGTATATGTACGGTTTGAGGTTTGAAGTGGGTTTTAGTTTTATGCTTAGAATCATGTGTGAATTTTACTGGTTATTTATTTGTTATGGCTGTTTTGATATTTCTTTGTACATTTATGTGAATACTTTTAGAAATTTCATGATTAAGCTTAATTGAAGGTGCTGCTCATGACTAGTGTGCTTAGTTTTGGTCGATTAATTGTGTTAATTTCATTGTTAAAATAAGAAAACAATACTGAATTTTGGTGGGTGAAATTGTGAATAAGTATTAGGAATTCAAAGCGAATTGCTTTAAATTGCATTTACTTAATTGGATGATTAAGTGTTATGTTATGTACGTCTTAATTATGAGGTTAAGCTATGTGAATTATGTGAAAAATTTAAGTGGATTAATGGATGGAATTTTATTCTTACATTATTTTTGGATGTGTTTGGAATTTCTCTAACATGTGCATGTGATTGTGGCTATGGAGTAGGTGGACTTAAGTTTAAAGATTGGGTATTCAATGGACCCTTCGGGGTATTTAGTGGACCTCTACATAGTAGGGTGAGTGCTGTGATTAGCTCCGATACAAGTGTTGCCAGCACACATTAGTGGACTCCATAGCATTGTGTGGTTTTCGGCTTTATGCATTATGCTTGTGACATCGCATTCATGAGCATAAGATTTTATGATGTAGATTGATTAAATGTCATTGGTTATTCTTTGACATGTTTGATTATCTGTGAATTAATTTGTGATATTAAATTGTTATTTAGATACTGTGATTTATAATATTATGTGGCTTAATTTGATTATCTGTTATGCTTTTCATGTGTGTAGGTCCAAGGGTTTTAGGACCTAAGTTTGTAGTTTTAACTTATACTTACTGGGCTTTTTAACTCATAATATTTTCTCCCATTTCAAACTAGTAGATTGGAGTAACGGCCACTCCACTTGAGAGCTTTCGATGTAAATCTCGTATATTAACCTCAGTGCTTTTGAAGTGAAGGCAAATTAATGTATTACTAAAATGATAATTTTGCTTTTATTATTTTAGAAAATATTTTGAAAAACAATTGCTCTCATGTATTTTTTTTTGCACAAATTACTTTTATTTATATGACATTAGGATTAATTTAAATAGGCATAGCCTGACTTATTTTATAATTTTGAATAGTTTGATATTTTTCTTAAAATATTTTCCATTAAATTGGTTTTCCTTTACAGATAATTGATTTCTTTCCATAAAATTAAAAGTTATTTGAAAGTGAATTTTTCTTGTAAGAAAACATTTTATATTAAAAGAGTTTTTACTTTCGCTACAATCTTCTTTCTATAAATATTTCTTTACTTGATAAACTAGAATGTTTGCCAAAAAGGACACGTTACACAAACTAGAGAGATTAATGGTATATGTGTAAGAGTTGTGCGTCCTTATATATATAGATAGATAGAAAAAATAGTGCATATCCATGAAGTCCTAATTCAAAAGCACCATACTCCAACATCTTAGCAAACCAACTGTTGGATTTGGGATTGATATCCATATATATATATATATATATATATATATATGAGTTAAGATCTACTTACAAACAACTCTTATATATATCACTTAAATAAAATTTTGACCATTCATCTCTTAACTATGAATGGTTGAAATTTATCGACTTTTTATCATATTTTTAAAGATAATTTTCTTTTTCATTTAAAAAATTGTGATAAATCTCAACCATTCATGATAGAGAGATAAACGGTCAAAATTTTAAGTGATATGTGTAAGAGTCATGTGTAAGAGGATCCTAACTCTAAATAGCTACTATCAAATAATTTTGCTTCTTAGTGATAATGATATTCATGTTAGTTGGAAAGATGTTAGATGCACTTACATATTGAGAAGAGATGGACTTTTTTGTGCAGGAAGAGTGCCATTCAACTTGTTATTTCCAAGAAACCTAAACAATAATGAAGTATTAAAAGATGTTTCAACATAATAAAGTTAGTTTAGAAGGCATATGGAAAAAGTAACTAGACAAAGATCATATCTTACAAATGAGTTATTGAACTTAAATTGAAGAGTGAGTCTGGAATTTGCCCAGATATATCATTGAAACTCAAATCCCTGGAGGAACAGTAATTTTCATTATAAGAAATATAAAATTACAAAGAATAAATAAGTAACAAAATTAAAAAGGATAATAATACAAATTGAAAGACTTGACTCATGCCCACTACACCACAACCACCTTTATCACAATAAAAATATTCCAAAATTATAATAATAATAATAACCAGCTTAATTTAGAGTCTCAAGCGTAAAGTAATTGCTGACTTGATTCTAAACAAATAGCTTTAAGTCACAAAAAGTTAAAACAAAAGAAATGAAATTGATGGGAGTTGGGAGATAAGGATATCGGCTTATTAATCAAAGGAATTAGAAGATTTGAAACATAAAACTCATTGTTTGCTTCAATAGAAGCTCCTAATTCACTCAAGTTTATAAGGTCACATTATTAAAAAACTATTGTAGACAAGAAAAAAAAGATAAAAATGTAATGGTAAAGCCAAGTCTACTCTAGCATGATTATGGGTCAAACAATCCTGTTCTAGTTGCCTAATAGAATATTTGAGATGACAAAAATCAGACTTAATCCATAAATTACATACTAAAAAAAAAGATACTATCTATTAAATACTTAATTTTATAAATATTATAAATGGTCTTATATGAGATGTTTTGCTATAAAGTTAGAAATGATAAATCAAATAGTCTGCAACCTAATTCAAAGTTCAATTGACTCAAAAAACCAAATCAATTAGTTTCACCACTGGCCTAAATTATATTTAAATTGGAAACCATCAAATGACAATTACTTACAACTGTTTCAAACTCTGGTATTCTCCAAAATTTGATGGAATTGTATCAGAAATGTTACTGTTCCTTATTTCTCTGCAAGACATGTAACTAAATTATTGAAGACCAAGAAAAGGAAGAATGAACTTTAGTGTGTGTTTGACAATAAAAGAAAACAAATTCAACTAGATGTCAAATTTGGATCGCCTTACAAGATGCTTAAGGACTTCATATCCTTAATAAATTCCAACGTAGAGCTTCCATTAAACAAACCATTAATCCTCCTATATGTGTTTCACAATTCATATGAGTTAGTTAGCAACAGAAATCTTCAATATACTAACAAGAGTTAATTGAAGGGAGTAAGGGTACTCACAATTCTTTCATTGAAGTTAGATTAGCAAAGGTTGGAGGTATTGGACCATCAAAAGAATTTCCTTGAAACCTCCTATAACAAAACAAAAGATTAAAAAATTATAACAGTGAAGAAAGTGAAGAGATAATAGCTGAATTTATCAATCCCCAAATCATAAAACAATAGTGATAGAAAATAAATTACAAGTACAAGAGGCTTTATATAAACTGAAGCATCATAATATATATATATATATATATATAAGAGAAAAACAACAATGATACTATAGTTTTCTTACAAAGTATTAAGCTTTGACCAATTCCCAATAAAGTCAGGTATCTTGCCTGTGAGTTTAGTGTCAGATGCCCATCTGAAATACATACATGAAATGCTCAAAACACTGACATAATATTTTTCTCTTAGATTCCATATAGTTTCAGAATTTTCAAATGAAAAATATTCAAAAAGCTCTCTTACAGTATAGCTAAATTTTGTAGCCTAGCAAATGTCAAAGGAATGTCACCACTAACTCCAGAGCTGCTAATGTAACTGCCAACAAAAGAGATATTTGAAACCATTAAGTACATGTGCGTGTGTGTGCTCTATGCACATGCAATGAGCTTTATGATAATTGCATACTAAATAAGAATCTTAGAGAACTCAAAAACATTTTAGGAATAATGTTTGTAACAAAAGAAACACATTATAAAGTTTAACACAATTGATGAAAATCTCTTCAATTGATAAGTACACAATCATTAAGAATGATTTTCAACATCCAAAAGAGGTTCCATACATTCAGATTAACAACTATGTAAATAATTTATATAAGTCATTTTCTTTATGTATCAAATGATAAAACACAAAGAAAGTTCCGAGTGGGTATAGATATATGAAATTTTTCTTAAAAAGGATTTTGAAGATTTAAATCAGTGAATTGGTAATTAATTTTAAAAATTGATGTAGAATACCAAATTCTTTAAAACACTAAATTGTCTAAGTGTACTCAATTTTAATTTTTCATGAAGAAGTTCGGTCTCCTGCATTTTGTTTCTTGAGGCATTCATTCATGCATCTGAATCTCCAGTAAATATTAAATATGCTTGTTACCAAGCTTTCTTAAGTTCCATTTCAAACTACAATTTAAAAGTTTCTTCACCGGATAATTATCACTGACATGACAAAATATTCCTTTAACGTCAAGTGGGTTTTCTTTATCTTTGCTTTCTTCAGCAGCCCATGGGAACTCCTTGTAGGACCCAACTAAGCTAAAGTTCAAGTTTCTAATTACCTCTCAAATTCCTTGGTTTACAATAAAGTCTAAGGCACTACAATCCCCACAGATTGAAGGGTTTTTTTTTTTTTTTTTCTAATGATAACAATGCTACCAGTGACAAATGTTCTAAAATAATTAGTATCTAGCTCACCAAAATTCTAGGCTTAGTTTGAAAATGTTG